CTGAGGGAGCTGGGCCTGTTCAGCCTGGAGAAGAGAAGGCTGAGAGGGGACCTGATCAGTGTCTATAAGTACCTCAAGGGAGGGAGTGAGGAGGATGGTGCTGGCCTCTCTTCACTGGTGGCCACTGACAGAACTAGAGGAAACAGCCAGAAACTGAAGCATCAAAAGTTCCACAGGAACTTAAGGAAAAATTTCTTAACAGTGAGGGTGACAGAGCACTGGAACAGACTGCCCAAAGAGGTTGTGGAGTCTCCTTCTCTGGAGATCTTCAAAACCTTCTTGGACGCAGCCCTGTGCCACCTGCCCTAGGTGACCCTGCATGTGCAGGGCGGTTGGACTAGATGACTTCAACAGGTCCCTTCCAACCTTAAGCATTCTGTGATTCTATGATTCTATGATTCTAGGTTCTGTCTCAGACATGCCCGCAAGTTGAATGGGAGATAAGTGTTTTAGGACCTCTTAAAGCTCTCTGTAATTCAGTGGTGTCCAAAATATGCTAGCAGCTTGAGGGACAAACATTTCAAGAATCAGTGTGCTCTGAATGTGTGGGTGTAAAGGCAGGAAATTTTCACAATAGCAAAATAGCTTGTAATACTGGACATTGCCTCCCTTTAGAGCCAAAGGAAACACCTAAGATAGGCATCTGTAGAAGATCCAGATGTCTGTGTCCTCAGTTGTTCCCTGGTCACTTGTATTTAGTTATGAAGCCCCAGCCCTGAAGAGTTCACAGAGAAATAAACAGTGAGGAGGCAAGAAGGAGAGGGACAACACACACAGGAGGTGGCTTCGTTCATGAGCACATGAGAAAACCATGTCAGGCCAAAATCACGTCTAGCCCTGCAGTTGATTTCCAGGAATGGCCCAGACAAGGTACCTAAGGAAGGGACAAACACAGAGCAGCCAGCACTGCTCAGCAGACTGAGATGTTTTTCTGCTGAGCTGCCTTTCTGTTTCAGCCTGGCTTGTGCTGCAAAATCCTCATTTGCCCTGGATCCAAAAGGAGCCACGAACCTGGTGGTGGTTTGAGAATGGGGACCCTGTGGGTGGCTGAGTGCAAGAACAGGCTGTTTATAGGACACTGTCTTTGCAGCTCTCTTCCTTGCTAACCAGGTGACTGCTTGCAGTTTGTGTCCCACATTGATCAAATTCATTAATCTTTTCCTTTTTCTCCTCTCCACATTTATCACATGAAGGATGCAGCACTTCTGCAGCCCAGGACAAATTGCGGGGTGACACATGCTATCAGTGGTACAGCCTAATAGCAGATTTCCTGCCACAAAGTGAAAAACACAAGTTTTCCCTCCCTTTCCCTGCCGCCCCACTACTCAGCTGTCCTGATTTCACAGCAGTCCAGGAAAAGCGAGTGATGGAGCCGCCTGTCAGCTGATGGAGCCTGGGAGTTGGGCTCTGCAGCTGAACCTCCACCCACTACTTCCATGCGTGGGGGAAACTCTGCGCTGCCGTCCCCGTGTCCGAGCACGTGCGCGTTCACCACACACTGCCCTTCGCACTCTGCCCTGCTCCAGGAGCTCGGTGTGTTGTAGGTAACACATGGGGAAAAGTAATAGGCAAAATAAAAATAATCCCTGCGTAAGATGTGATGAGATACAAGACATGGAGCAAGGGAAAAGGGCTGGCTCTGAAGCAGCATGCTGATGGAGGCGCTACCCTGAGAGGCATTTCACAAGCTCATACTCAAGTCAATCATCAGCTTCATGTTGTTTATTTTTTTTTAAAAAAAGTAAATTCTCATAGCACTTCTCATGTCCAAACAACTCAGAAGTCTCATGATTTCTAAGGTGGGCTGGAACCTTAGATCATTTTGATTTTGAATAATTAGCATTTTGAATAGTGAGGAAAGATATTCTTGTTAAAGCCTGAAAACAAGCATCACAGTTTAAGCTTTAAGTATATCTCTCATGGCTTAATAATTATGTAGCTCATGCCACATGAATATTCCATCAGTTTACTCACACTCCAAGGCAACATAATTTGTTCATTTGAATCTTTCCAGTGAACTCCTTCTGGGTCACCCTGCTCTCAAACCAGAAGTTAAACCAGAAAACCTCTCCCTGTTATTAACACCAGATGATTGGGATAAACTGGAAAACAACTACATTGATTCTTTAAAGGTAAGGTTTTTTGGCCTTGTTACCATGTCTGTTGCCCAGGAGCCTCTGAGACAGAGGTTTCTGATTGCTGTATTATGATTTCTTGTCCTGTGAGGTGTTAACTTCTGTCAGCTCTCACTAATGTGGAGCACTTGGCACCACTCAGGGTGATATTTTAATCAAAAGGAGAGAAGTCCCAAGTTTTGGACCAAAGCAGCCATCTAAATGCTGAGCCTGAATTTGATGGCTACAGCAGGTTGATGGCTACAGGCACAAAGAGCCGAAGTAACTGTACCAGGTTCATACAGAATGACTCAGGTCTACCAAACATTCAGAGCTCAGTTTCATCAGATTAAACACAATGAGGATAGCAAAATATTGTTAAGTTAGAAATGCTAACCGATAATTTTAGAACGTGTGAGATTCTTTGGCACGTCTTAACCCAGTTTTGGGTACAGCTGGGTACAGTTCTCCGCCAGAGAACATCCCTGTGGTCCAGGAAGCCCCATCAGTACATGTCTTTCTGCCCATCCTTGGCTGGGACTGCAGGTAAGCCTGCCTGAGGACCATGACCAGCAGCTGTAGGTGCTTCCCAATACTACAGAGCCCAGCTCCTTTCCTGAGTCCTTGAAGGGCTCAGACATATTTTTGAAAATCATTTCTGAAGCAAGTCACTGCTCAAGGCGAACTCAATAATAAAACTAGTATTGCTCCATCATGCTAGTAAGGATCATTTTATTTTACCAGCAACAAGGCTGATTTATCATCTGTGACTGAGCAGTGCTCCCACTTACAAAAGTATCTGTAGAGCCAGAAAGGACCGGTTGGGGCTTTCATCCTGACCTTGTGCGTAACACGTGCTACAGGAATTTGCAATCAAGCAATGAAACTGCTGACTGCGCCAGAGCGTAGCTACAGCAGATAGCTGTAGTCCAGATCTGCTGAAGTAAATGACCCTGAGGATTAAATACCTTTCTTGAAAAGGAATAGCACATATTTCCCTGTCAGGGGAGCTGGTCTCCCTTGATTTGGGAGCAATGCATCCTCACAGTGTGCAGCTGTCCTGATTTTTCTCTGAGATCCTGTGTAGTCTAAGAGATTCTGGAACAAGACCTTTGATTCTGTTTATCTTGTTGCACTGCACATGTGAGTCTGGCACGTGTCAGTTAAGCAAAACGCAGGACACCATCTCCATGCCTGTAATTCTGGTCATGCTGCAGGCCCTCCTTTGCCTCCATGGAGCAATCGGCACAAGGAAGCTCAGAGAAAAGGAAAAATCCTTTGTTACAACGTGCTGAACTCACATCACGGGTAGAGCTGAGCCTGCTTTTTACCATTGGCTCTACCACCAATCCCATGGCAGCACAATCCTGTCATCCAAGGACTCCCCTGAGGACCCTCCGCTGCTTTCCCGTGCACCATTTCACATGGTGCAGCCTTACTCATGGTTGCTTTTTCTCATGTTTTCTTACCATGTTTAAAATCCAGGAGAAAATGAAAAGCTATTTTGAAAACATCCTGAAACTGGAGATCACAGAAAAGTGGGAGAAGGAAGTTCAGCCGGAAGTGGATGAAAACCTATACAACTCATCGCTGTCCTTTGATATTCAAACGGTATTTAATTAGCTTGTGTAAAGTGTACGGTTCTTTTTGATTCCAAGGAAACTGAAACATTATCTTCTGGTATGTAGGTACTGCCTCCTGTGATAATTTATGTTAGTCACGCACTCATAGAATACATTAACGGAGAAAATGCCGTTTATTACAACTTTTAGCTCTACCGTTTGCCTTCTAGCTGCAAATTAAACCTGCTGTCAATTGTGTCAGCAACATAATAGGCAACTGATTTTAAAGTCTTTTAAATCTCTTTGATTAGAAAGAAGAAAGGCAGAAAAAAAGAGACAGAAAGAAAAGGGTTGGTAGAAAAGCCTTTTCATTGAAAGAGGAACTTTGTCCCCGGGCTGTAGCCTTGGAAAGGCCGTAGGCATTGACAGCCACACCAATTTAAACGGTACAGAAAAACAAAAGCTCCTGCTAGCTTTAGGGACTACAGAGTAATAAATCCAGGAGGGGTTTGGATTCATTTTCCTCACTTTTCAAAGGATTGAGTCATTTCAATTAAATAATACCAAAGAAAAGGGGTGAGGGGCAGGTGGAGAAAAGGAAAGAAAGAAAGAAAATCAGAGAGTTTTGCCTGCTGCCATGACTCATTTTCCATAGATGAATATTATACGCTTTTTGATCACTACAAAGGTAAATCTGAATTGGATTAGCGGATGAGTAGGATGCCACAGAGAGAGCGAGATTGTAACTGGCCCTGCTGGGACAGTGGTTATAGCCACCCACAGCACAGGCAGCTGGAAGAGAGGGGGTACAGCCCCCCCTTGGCCCCACTACCCTCAATGTTATTTAGGGGATTGGGCCGTCCTGCAAATCTCCAGAAAGAGAACAGCTACATCAGGGCAGCCTGGGGTGCAACTCAGCACAGGCTCCTGGTACATGAGACATGAGTGACTGTGTCACCGATCTGTTTGTGCTTCTTGGCCCATTCTGGATTATTATTTTTAAAACTGCCAGAGAATAATGAAAAATGCCTGGCAACATGACTGCTTTTCCTCCTGTGTTAGGCGAGTCATTAATGTTTTTATCAACCAAACTACATGACATCATTGCAAAGGAGGTTTTTGCCCATGCTTGTGCCGTTCATTGGAGTTTTGCCTTCCCTTTTTCTAGATCTTCGCAGAGTACGTGAAGGCTTCCCGAGTGATCAGCAGAGGTCTGGAGATGAAAACCCTTGAGCTCTGCCTGGCAGAACTGCATGAATTCATACCAAGGTCATCACACTGCTCTGGGCAGCACATTCCTTCCCCATGAGTACCACGTTTGTAAGAAAAAACAGGGAAAAGCTCCACACACTGGGCCAAGTGCTGGCACCGAGCAGGCATGGGCCTGCCCCTAGGAGAATTAGAGATCACAATAATTCCAATAATGAGCAAGCTGCAAAGCAACATAAATAGCTCTATACAGACCCAGATGGGAGTCTTGTGAGCCACAAAATGCCAGAGGTCCAGGAAGGAAGTGCTGAGTGGGGAGGGATTTCTGCCGCGTCTGTTCAGGACACTGGTCACTCACTGTGCCAGTCATGGACAAGCAGCACTTGAAGGGGACACAGGTCCAGGCGCTACTTCTGTACAGCATTGACTAAATATCCCCTTCTGAGGCTGCTGGCTTAGGAGGCAAGTCCTTTCTAGGGGCTGCACTATCATTAATGTAATTAAGTCTCTGATACCCAGGTCCAGAATACAAATCATATATCGAGGCTGCCTTCTGGAATTTTTAAAAATTTACTCAGTTCCAGAAGGACACACTACCCTGCCTCTTGGCTGAAATAATATTTTTCTTCTTGGGAGCAGTCCCTGACTTATGGCTCCAGATTGTAAACCTCGTCACATGCTGCGGGGATGCTCCCAGGAAGGGCTTTTGGCTTGCAGATAAAATAATCCTTTCCTCATCTCGGGGCAGCTACAAGCTGCCTCCTCCACAGCTGCTTGGTTGTGTTTCAAGGGGAGTCATATCCATTCTCCGGAGCAGCGTTTGGGAGAGCAGAAAGGACATTCGGCATGAATCAACTCCAGAGAGAGCCTAAAAATAATTGCACATTAACCTTTGAGATTTCACACCTCCGGAAGGCGCTGAGTGGGTAGTTTGCTAATAGACATTTTACAGAAGCGAGTGAGGGGGAGCATGAGCGCTGCTTTCTGAGAACGTGAAGTTGTGGAATGACAGGTACTTAAGGCATGAGAAAGGCAATGCTTTCCCATTTGAAAGCTCATCTTTAATAACACAACTCTCTCAGCTTGTCTGCAGAGTCCTGGGTGAACAGAGCCCTTCAAACTAGCTATTTGGCTTTGAAGCCTTCTTCTTTTTTATTTTTTTAGAAGAAATGTGGTACTTTTACTGATGTTCTTTTCTTTTCTTTTTGCATAACAAAAATGGTGTAAATTCCTAGTCATCCACAAGGGCAGCAAATACACCCAAGTGGAAGGGTCACCGAAACCTGAGCTTTCTGCTGAGCAGCAAGCGCAAGGGCAAGTGGCTAAGGGCAGCCTGAGCAGATTGCTTTGGATCATTAGAGAAACTGAGCACTGGAGACTCAAACCCCCTGCCTGAGTGTGCACCCTCCTGCGGTCTGTGTGGACCTGCCTGTAGGATGGCTGTCAAAACCATAAAAGCTGCAGTACACGGACAACAGATACCTGATATATCATGCCGAGAATAAAGGGGGAAAGTGTAGGTGTGTGGCCTCTTTCCTATTCAGCTTCTATTGTAAAAGGAGCTCTGAGTTAAATCTCTTCCTTGTGTGCTTGTGAGGGCATGCATTATGTTGCCCCAAAAGCCAGAGAAATGACAGGCCAGGTTTATGAGACTGAGTATCACTAACGCAGCTAATTGCTTAGAGTAGAGAACGTCAAAAATTTCACCCAGGCACTTTCATGTGTAAAGATTACTGGAATCTCTCCAAAACTGTGCTGCTTACACATTCAAGTGAGCACCTACTAAACCAATAATTATCTACTATATATTCCCCTCTAATGCACATGCATGTTAAGACAACTGAAAAAAAAATATCTGCATACACAGAGGACAGATTGGGCCAGCAGTGAATGTCTTTTGGCATTATCATGTACTCAGAATATGAATAAATCTGTTCTGGCTTGTTTGTGGTACTGTTGCTGTGAGTCTTACCTGCATTTCTGTTGCAGATTTGGAGAGGAATTTTTGAAGTGGAATACTTCCCGAGACAGCCCGATATTTGTGCCCTATTTTGCTGCCTACATCAACAGCTTCCAAGACCTGGTGTAAGTCTGCTCTTCCCTCCTAATGCTGCTGTCTTTCTGTGAGAGATTTGGGTGGATCTCAGTGTATCACGGGGGGAAAAACAAACAGTGCAGTGATGGAGTCTGCAGAAAAGGATGTGCTTCAGTGTAATTGTGGGGAAAGAACTGAGTTATACCAAGGATGAATTTGGTTTTTTAGGAATGAGTCTGCATTGCTGGTCAAGTGCAGATCAGAGCTCATTTTCTAGTCCACCTTCATCTACCACTGGTGATGATGAGCATGTACAAATGGGACTGAACATGGCACAAACCCTCATGCAAACCCAGTGGTGTGGGTCTGAAATGGGCTCTTCAGCCACATCTGCCAGCAATACTCCAAGCTCATATATTCATAGGTGCAGTACGGATGATTTGGGGACTGGGGACCATCAGGTGCTGCATGCACATGCTCTGTCTCTAGCCCATGCTTCACCTCATGGTGGGGATGTTCCCTAAGACATTCAGAGTTAAAAAAAAAAAAAAAAAAAAAAAAAGCTTGGGAATTAGGATGAAGAAACAGAAAAGGATCCGTTACTTGAATGAAAGCTTCTGACTCATTTTCAGCCTGTCTCCTTCAGCTTCAGAGGGAGTTCTTTCATTTCTTGTTTTTGAGGTAAGCAATATAAAACCAGCAGCACACTCTCACTGCTACTTTTGGCACTGGGCTGGAGGAAATTCTAAGAAAGCACTCATCCTGCAAAGAAACCCCTGCCATAACTGCTGGCAGTAGCAGTTTCTAGGACTTGCATATGTTAAGAATTAGCTATTTAACACCGTGCTTTCAAAAGGCCTCTGATGCATGGGTATTCCCACCAGCTCTGTCTAGCTAAGGTGTCTGCTTCCATATGCAGGAAGGTACCAGGACCAGCTCCTTCAGTCCAGCACCGGGGCACAAGGCAACCTTACAGCTTCCCACCCCACCACTGCACTGCCCAGGGTCTGCTGACATAGTTACCATGGCCCTTCAGTGCCAGTGCCTTGAGCAACTGGGAATATTGGAGTGGGACACTGGTATGGAACCTACCCTATGAACAGGGTGTGCAGGGACGCCAGGACGCAGCCCATAAGGTAACCTGGGTGGCTTTGCACCAGCCTTGTCTACAGCTACAGATGGTTTGTGCAAAACCTACCCCAGAGGGCCTTCAAAAATAGGGCCGAGTTTGTGTCCCCATTTACCTCAGAAAAGGCTTTGTTCCCACCATCCCAGAAGTGGCAAAAGATGGAGGCATGTCAAATCCCAGCGGGTCTGTGTGGTATCCTTGGGACCACAGCAGGTCAGGTGGTTTCTCATGAGCTGCCTGATGGTAGCTGGGCTGTTGGGGAGCTGAGGACCAAGCCCAGGGGTGCTTTAGCTTCTGGGACAGACCCTGCCATGCAGATGTGCTACTTCAGTGGCAGACCTGGCCAGTAAACATGCTGCTAATGCAAGGGAGCATACGCTGCGCTGGGTCCCAGGAAATGTCTTTTTGTTGAGCCTAATGAGAAGGTGGTGCTCTCCACTCAGAAGCTGAGCCAGCAGCTCCTGGGGGTCTGCAGCCAGTGACCTCAGGCCTGGCCACCAAAAGGACCAGCCTTTGGCCTCACAGTCCCAGCTAGGCTGGAGAGCAGGAGGTGGCCCTAGCATCTCTCAGCCATGCTCCCCTTTCTGCCCTGATTGAAAATGTTGTCTTCAGCTTATGCCCCTGTGTTGCTGCCTGGCACGACTGGTGACAAGGGGACATATGCGGTACATTGCTCAGGCTGCCGCTGAGGTTTTCATGTCGCAGCTGCTCCTGCTCTCGCAGGGTATCGCTGCTCCAGTCCTCTGTGAGCACTACCAGCAGGAAGTCTCTAGATGGCACAGTCTCTCCAGAAATGCTACTCTCCTCCGCTGCCACTGAGCGGCTGTCCCCAGCATGATCCCTTATCCAAGTCCTGACTCCTTAGGAGGTTGCACTCCCTGCTGAGGAGTTGCAAGGTGGCACAAGGCATGGAGCTAACAGGTGCTCCTGTGCTCAACTAGCTCCACTGGGTTTATTCCTGCATCAAGTTAACACGTGGTGTTGAGTTACTGGGATAGGACAAGCCAGACCACACACTGAGGTACCCCACAGCATGATTTTAGGGATGATGGATGCAAACTCCAGGTGTTCAGCATTAGCATGGGTTTAGCTATGGATTTGAGCCCCCAGCCGGGGACAAGAGGTTTGGTTTTGCATGTTTTAAAATCAACACCCAAGGGAGTGCAGCCTTCTGCAGAGAGATACCCTTACACAGAGAGCGGGAGCACATGGAGCACAGGCAGGGACATGATGGGGAGTGGGATAACACAGGAGATAACACCCCCCAGGAAATCCACTCCTGCCATGCTGAAAGCACAAGTTTGCATGAGCAGAAACTCTGATAGCAACTTGCAGCGTGGCCTTGGGCACCTCTAGCATTTGGATGCTGCTGCCTCGGTGGAGAGTGTTACAGAGGAGCAAGGATATGAAGTGAGAACAAGAGACAGGAGCCTGTAAACGCCCTGAGAATCCATACATATTGCCAGGGATTTCATTAATTACTCAGATCTTGTATTTTCTTCCTCATTGTATATTGTGAAACCTTCTAGAGTTGCACACTTTTCCTAGATGCTCCCAAAATTCACCATCCACGTCACTGCTGATAAGGTACTGAGTGAGTCAGCCAGCCTCTTGGACAATGGGGTAACATTTTTTTTTCCCTTCAGTGGCTTTATTTGCTTGTCTCCTACACTGTAAGATCATTATTGCAGGGACCTTTTCAGGTGTTTGGAGAACATTTGGCAGAAGTGTTACTGCAAGTAAAAAAGTAACTGTCTTGAGTTATTACTCCTCAGGGTCGAATTGCCCTATCTGATGAGGAAATAGGTGTTTTCTTGAACACATTCAGTTCTGATTCATTTTTAGTGATTAGAAGAGTCATTATTTGGACCCATGAAAATTTTCAAGAGGAAGTGCAAGAGATACGCAAGTTATACTAAAAAATACCCAAGATACCAATCTAGCTAAATTGCTCACAGCAGGATAACAGTTAACTTTCTAACACTGAATCGATGTTTTTCTCTTTCTCTGTCTAGGTCAGGCTTACAAAAAGTGTTCGAAGTCAACACTGGCGAACTGCAAGATGTTATGGAATCTTTGACAAAGAACTTCAGAAATATATTTTTTATTAAATTAAGATCAAAAACACAGGTAAGAGGATCTTGCTCAGTTTATTCCCTAAACATGAGCAGTTTGCTGCAAAAACAGGAGGCTATTGGAGCTTTCTTGTGGAACTGGCTGCCCAGAGATGTTGTGGAGTCTCCTTCTCTGGAGATCTTCCAAGCCACCTGGGTGCCACCCTGTGCCCCATGCTCTGGGTGTCCCTGCTGGAGCAGAGGGTTTGGACTAGAGGGTCTCTAGAGGTCCCTTCCAACCTTAAACATTCTGTGATTCTGTGATTCAAGAAGACCTTATTTTACCGTGTATGAAATTATGGTATCTGCAAAATGCTTCATGCCAACTTGTATAAAGATCCTTCTTAATGCAAAGTCACACTTCCAGTATCTCAGGAACTCACCATTGTAAACAGTGAGACCTTAGTCAAGCTGTTTATATTCGTGTAACAGCAACGGAAAGCGAAGTATATTTGGTGGCTGCCAGCATCTTGGCTAAACCAGTGCGGGGAAACTTCATCTCTAGCAAAACAGCAGGGAAATCAACTTTGGTGAGACATTTTGCCTTCCATAAAAAGGTATGGATTTTTTAGGACCTCTGATTTCTGTTATTTATTCACAAATCTGCAACCATGGTTCATTATTAACTCCTGCCCAGAAGGTATATGACCCATGAAATATTCAGCCTCTTCAGATAGAATAGAGTTTATTCTGGTAGGAAAATTTCTCCAGTATGTTTTCATGCTGGAAAAAAAAAAAGAAAAAAGAAAAAAGAAAAAAGACTGATTCTTTCATCACAAGGAAGATAAAACTCTGGGCAAACTTATAAGAGACATAAAAGGCAAGGTGTTAGGATGCAGTTTGTGCTTCCCAAGTGCTGTAGACAAAGTCTGGCACTCTCAGCTCTCTGAGAGTCTACCAGCTCTAACTAATACAGCAAGAGAGATGAGAAAAATTAAGGTTTTGGTGACATCTCTTTTAACTAATCCTAACTCATTTTCTAAACTTTTTCTAAAGCCTGGTATGGCTTTCAGAAGCAGAGACAATCATACAATAAGAGCCCTGCTCTGAACTAAGTCAAGCCCCTTGGCCAAGGGGACTTTCCATTGACTGCAGTGTTTTGAATCAGAGCCTAAGGGGCGGGCAAGGAAGCAGTCAAGCCAAGGCATTGAGCAAGAAGGCTGCAACCCTGAGATCTGAGAGGCAAAGCATTTATAAACAGTCCTTCAGAAGGCTGGGAACACAGTGCAAGGGCATGGGTGATAAATTATTGGGGAGACTGCAAGGAGTACAGACAAGATTTACAGCAATCTTGAAAACTAAACTGTGAAAAGTAATATGGGATATGCCAGCAGAGGGATATTTTGAGGATCATCCCAATGAGAATGTCTTCTGGTACCACCTGAAATATTTACCAGGTAATGGTGTGTTTCAGTGTGGGCATAGTTTAATTCTTGGGAGCTGGCAAGCCAAAGGAGCCCATCAGCCAGTGGCAACACATGATAAGAGCAGTTTGTACCCGAGGCCCATGTGAAAAGGTGCAATCACTCTCAGGTCTGCACTGACCACAAAGCATCAAACTGGGGATGCTCCCAGTTGCTACTTCCTCCCTACCACATGAGAGCAATGAGCAGAAGGAAAATCCACGTGAGACCTTGCTCAAGTGCTCAGATCTGCAGGGAGAGGAGAAAGACCCTGCAAGTCCCATGAGAATAGGAGCTTGTTTTCCTAATGGAAAAGGCTGGAGAGTTGGGGAGCTACTGGGATAATTTATCATTTAATATTTCATATCCACAGCTGTGGATATTAATTTAATATTTCATATCCACAAACCAGTATGACACTGCAGACCTCATACATGGCTGCAATCTAAAGCCTGCAGTGCCCATGCCTTATTTTCACCCAATTAACATTTGAATCTGTATCTTCATCTATATGGTACGGATACAAGTTCATTCACCTGAAGAAATCTAGCTGGTAGATTGGAAGAAGTGAGCTGTCCCAACTATGCCGTTAATCCAACAAAGTTGAAGCAAAAGTCTGCTAACCAGGTTGCTCAATTTTGGTCTTGTTAGCTAGCCGGCTGCTATCACACCTCACAGAAGAGTAGCTGTGGCTAACTCCCAGTGAAGAGTAAGACAGATTTGTTAAGGTATTTAGTTTTAACATCTCTTTGATATTTAGACCAAGATGGTTAAGATATTTAGGTTTAAGTTATCTTACAAATGTGCAGGGAGATGGCTAGGCTTTTGCATGAAGCAGCACTCAGGCCTGCGATTAGAGCACATCTCCTCATCAGCTGGTGTCCAGTTAATCCCGAAATATTCCAGCTGTTATGAAGGAAACATTCACCGGGTCTGGGTAATATTCAGTCTGAATGTTACTGGTGACACCCGTGAACTGCTCTTTTTCAGCCACTCTTTAAGAAAATCTTCACCAAACATTGGATTTTAGCTACTGAGAAGCCAAACTCGCTGGCATCCGCCGTGTCACAGTTCTCCGAACACTTGCAGCACATGAAGAACCCCATTGGGCAGGTAGGAGGCTCTCCCAGCCCCTCACGCCATGCACCAAACCAGGTCATGCTCCCACTGTCTGGCTGCAGTCTGGCCTGGGAATACCCTTCTCCAGTGGCAGCAACTGGTTATGGAAGTGTGGGCGGATGGCACCAGGAAGTTTAGTTATCATCTTACTTTTGCATGAGAATAAGCAACATCCCTGTTTTCTGGAGTTTAAATAGGGGAACTGGTTTCATTAAAGAGGAACAAAAAACTTCCGTGAACGTTACTACTGAGCTTTGTAGTTCCATAAGTTGCAGGCATATATGCTTAAATCACTTTATGTGGTCCTTCCGCATCCATACAGTTATGAAATAAATAGATATGCAACAGTAGCTCTCAGTTATGAAATAAATAGATATGCAACAGTAGCTCTATATTTAAAATCCTCAAGCACCACCAAAAACCGCTATGAAAAAGCCCCAAATATCCCTTTTTACTCATGGGGACCCAAATTACCAACTTACAATTGTGGGTCGTTTCCAGGAAAAGAGTCATTTCATGGTTTCCCTCTGCTCGCTGCCTTGGCACTGTGCCTTGAAAGCGGGGATGTGGTTCCCACGCCGAGCCGCTCGGCACTGGCCTTGTGCGGCACGAGCTGGCGGGCGCGCAGCATCCCTGCATCTCCTTTACACCTGCTGCTGGTGTTGCAAAACTGAGGGCTTCCCCTGCTCACTCTCTCTGCTGTAAATTTCCATGAGATTTGTTGCAAATTTTGCTTTTTTTTTTTAAAACAGGAACTGCTCTGTGACATTCATAAGTACGTGGTGAGGGAATACATCACCCAGGTCATCAAACCGAGACGGAAAATGAAAGGGGAGAAGCGGCAGCAAGTGAGCGAAAGGATGAGCCAGGACGCCAAAATCCTTAATAATATGCTCATAGATCAGGTACACGAGCTCCCTTGGGTACTACATCCCTGTGGGTGCATCGGCCCTTTGGTTCTTGGGGGACTGTGAGGGCACTGGCGTGGTGCAGTGTGGCCCCGTGTAACAGAGAAGTGCTCAAAGGAGAGTAAAGATGGGGCTTCCTGCAGGGGAAGTGTCCGTGGGGACTCAGTAGCTACCCTGAAGTGCTGTGTAGAGCTCTCATGAGGTGTATGTGCCTAGCCTAGGGCTCCTTGCTTGCACTCCCTGGTGTTTTAATGCACTTCCAGGCCCACAGGCACTTCACATGGAATAGTTAATGTGTTGTTTACTTCAATATGGGCCCGTTTGCTTAAGTCGATGGATGCAACTTGCCTCTACAATGTTCCTATGGTGGGTGCAGCTCAGGGATAAACAGAAAATCTGTCAGGGCACTGTTTTCATGCAGTGTGGTAGGGAGAAAATTGCTGCTATTTGAGTGTCAGCCTGGGATTTTCAGTGGAGCTAAGGTTGAATTCAGTCCAGCATCCGTTCAGCCCTGAAGAAAGTCAAACACCTAGGGCTTTCGGGCATGAAATCCCCAATAACTAGGATGGTTACTAGCCAGAGTTGGCACCTGAGCTGCCTTTGAGGGCACAGCCAACCCTCGGTGGCCCAAGGCAAGACACCTTCCTTGGTGGCTTCCCAACTCCCTGTGGGCTCCCCATGAGCATTGCTGCCCAGGTAACCTCTCAGCAGCAAGCCTGGCTCACAGCCCGCTTTTCGGGGCCACTAATGCTCTTTCCCATCAGGGTTTCAGGAATAGTTCCCAGTCCCCAGACAGTTCCAGTTCACAGCTCCTAGTGCTGCTGCAGCAGCTACTGGTGGAGCCATCTGTGTAATAGTTACACAGTTTTGGGGAGAATGCATAAGAAAGTTTCTCTGCAAGTAAAATTTCAAGTAGGAAATGTAGAAGAAAATTTCCCCACCAGTTTGAGTCTAGCTGCAGTGGGTTTGGAGCCTCATGGAGCTTTCCCTCTTTCTTGGGCCTGGGAATACCTAGTAGAGGTTACTGGTTGCTCTCTTTTTTGCCGCCCCTACTTTGCACGCAGCACAACAACAACAAAAACATGTAAGCAGTACAACAGCATTGTTTTGTAACAGCAAAAATAACCTTCTGCCAAAGCTCTCTGTGCTTTGCCAAGAGTTCAGACCAAAAGGCTTTGTCAAGATGTCGTGCTTTCCACTGAAGTCACCATGCATGTAACTGTTCGTAGGGGTCTACTTCAGACTGGCTCCTTCCTGCCATACCTCACATTGCTAACATAGTTGGGGAGAAGAAAAAAGACAAAATCAAGGAGCACATTATGGAACTGTGCCAGGATTACCCAGATATCAGGTATGTGAAAACGCCATGGCCACTTGTCCTGGCCAACACCAGTTCCCTCCTGTGCCTTGGACAAGCTCATGAGCTTCTATGACTTGGACGACTTCTCAGTGCAGGGGGCCAGGAAGAGGGAAAATACTCTAATTTTTCTTGCTCAGGGACTGTATTCCTTCTCTCTCTCTCTTTTTTTCTCCTCAAAGATCCTACAATACACACAAATTAATTCATAAACCTTTTCATTTTATTACTCCAAATAAGTCTTGTTTGACTTTAAGGCTTCAGGCTGCTTTTCAGTAAATTAACTGTATTTGCACAGCGTGCCAGTTTGCAGGCCTCTGCTTTGGAGCAAAAATTTTGTCTCCTGTTCCCCAGCTCAGACATCAAAGAGCAGCAGACATTGAAACAGTTCATCTGCGGCTTCTGAAAGTGACTCAAGACAACCACTGGATTTTTCTGGAACAAATTTCAAATTCTTTCTTTTGTATTTTCCAATTTGCTGTTCCAAAGCAGCATCTGCTGAACTTAAGATTACCGAAAAAAACAAACAAGCTAATTAACTTTTTCTGTGCATGGATGAACAGCTGTGTGTCAGTATTCACCCCCTCTTCTGCAGCTCTTCCAATGACCTCTGGGAAGGAATATTAGTAGTACAGTTTGCAAGAAAATCCATTTTATCAGAGCGATCTCAAAAAAAGAGATTTACTTACAGATTTACTTCTGGATAATATTTATATAATCAGCATAAACAGTAAATGTAACAGGTTGTTCAGAATACTGAAACGGACCCTCAGATATCCAGAAAAAATGACTTTAAATATATTTTCTTTTCCCAAACCTGATGCTCAGAATGCTTCATATGCATAGGCACTGAAAGGAGAAGATAAGCTTTGGGTTTATCTGTGTGTGGAAATTCAATACATGATCTTGAATTCTTCTAAAAAAGTAATTTCCTAGGTGAGCACACTTCTTCCACAAAAAGAACGCCCGATTAAGCTGACGAAGGAAGCAATGCCTGTTCTAGGAGAGATGGGAGTAAATGAGGGCTCGTTAAAATGAGATGTTTGGAAATAATTTTCCAGGCAGAAAAGCCATTTGCAGAGTTGGGATTTGTGGTACTTTTCATAACTTTCAAGCTAGGTTTCAAGGTTCATCTATTTCCTGCCTTTCCATTATTGAGCAACGTAATTTTTCAACAATTAAGTTTGGCAAGTGAGGTGGAACCTGGCAGACCTACATTGCTTCCTCTTTGTGCCTTTGCTAATGCGTCCCTGGAGTGCTCAGGGATGTTGCTGAAGCTATATATACAGAGATTACTGGAACAGGGCGTGTTTTCACCTCCTTTTTCCTAGCTCTAATCTAATTAGTGCCCGTCAGCTTCCCAAATATTAGCACTTCCACTGTTTAACTCAAAATAATCATTAAATAAAAGGTCTGCAGCCTCTCAGGAAAACCTGCACAAGATTCCGCTTGTGTTTACAGATGAAGGAGGAAATTCCCGCAGGCACAGGCAGCAGGAAGGTGCTGTTTTCCCTTTGGGGACAGGCAGGAGCCCATCTCAGCTTGCTGGGCAGCCGGGAGGCTGCAGACCTCCTTTCTCAGGGTCTTCTCACCTTAACTCACTATTTCTTGTTACTACTTGTCTCTTGAGTCTGGAACAGCTTTTGCTCTCCATGAATGGGCATGGTCTTGTTTGTCTTTTCACAGGAAGGAGCACATCCTGGCAGTTCTCAGACTCCGAGGCCTGGGGCTAGCCAAGAGCAGGGCGATCATTCAGAAAAGATACTGCCCACAGGAGAGCCCTGATGGTGAGGCCAGCAGCTCGCTCTTTGCGGAAATAGATGCTCCGGCAGTCGTCAGCTGCTTCTAAAAGGCATCCAAAATAGAAGCCAAAGTCCCACCTTCACTGCTTCTACATCATGATCCCAAACCCACTTTGTTCCTCTTCAAAAGCTCAACTGGTGTGGAGGAAGAACCTCTGAGCTCAAAAACCAAAGGCAACAGAGGCACCAAGGCACCAACATGCTCTAAATATACCTCCAAGCAGCAGCTCTAGCAGTATGTCCTCATTGGGCTGAATACACTGCTTATATCAGTATGAGGCTGCTCCACTGTTTGTACAATTTGAGTCTCTTTGAGAACAGGAAAGAATCAAAAGAAGTTTACTCAAGGCTGTGTGTTGTGTAATTACACAGCAACAGAGCAAGAGCTTCATTCATAATTACCGTCTTTGGACAGAGGAACTGAGTTTGGGCTGTGATGTCATGGAGTCCACAAGCCCCATTTCCTCCCTTGTGAACCAGCAGGCGCGACTGGCCTGACATAAGGTCAGTGGCACTGTGATCTGATGCCACAGACCACTACCTGCCTGAAGAACCAAACTCTCGGAAGGTAACCAAACCCCACAGGCGATATACACAGAGTATGGACATCTCCAAGACAGGCCCTTGCCATTTCAGCAGATTTTCCTCACTCACAGCCTTGTCTTGAAAGACTTGTGTTTGACCAGACACCTACTCAAGGCTTCACATCCTTTCTGTGGAGACAGATGTCTCAGGACTGGACATGCCGTACTCAGTGTGGAGCAGGCTCCAGATCCTCTCTGTCCTCAAGAAAAGGACAGGTGGCAGAGGTGATGGTGGTAGTAACCAGACAATTTGGCTCTGCAGCTGTTTCCAAGCAGAGCTGAGGACAATGATCAAACAGACCTGTGGAATGGGCCAGGGAGAGCAGACATTTCTTTCTGCTGGTGGGCAGGTTTTCAGATTTGTTCCCAAAATTCCAAATGGAGGGCAGAAAGTAGGCACTTTGCCTGATGTTCTCTTAGTCCTTGTTCTTAAACATTTGGAGGTACTTTAATGAAGCTGCTGCAAGATGAAACTGTAAATGTTAAGCTAAACAGGCATAATGCTTTGGATCCAATCCTCACCTGATGTAAACCAGCATCACCCCATTGACTGCAGTGGAGAAACGCTGGTTTATTTCTGTGAAGAGTCCAAAGAACTGCATTCAGCACCTGCATGGGACACTTTGCCGAGAGACATCCAACAGCCTGCGGCTGTACAGAGCTGATTTTATTTAACCCAATTTATCCTGTAATTTGCCTCTGTAAGAATTAACTCAAGACTCTCTACAGAGATATGTTTAAGGCCTATCAATTAATATGATAAATGTGGATGTGGCACAGTCTTGAACATTGTTTTTTCTGCAGCAGACAGTGGGAGTTTAGAGCATCAACAGTGATTCTTTTATACTTCCTTTACCCCAGTTTTCACCTTACCAAATTTCAGTCCATGTGAGCAGTGGATACTGATGACAGCCCACATGAGGTGTTCTCATAGATAAGAAATGAAGCATCTACCTTTAATTCATGGACATTCATCACACAACAAAAATTAATCCAAGATATAACAGATTTGTTTTCTCCGCAAAGTTAGGTGTTTTTCTCTGAAGATCTGATATAAACTGTGAGCTTGAGGCAGGAAATCCTGGGAGGAATTTGCTGCTCTACATCCTTCATCAAGCCAGAGTGGCTGATCAGAGCTATCCTGGCATGGCCTCAGCTCTGCAACTCCCTATAACTGAGAAAGGAGAAGTGATGTAACATCCATGTTTCACATTAGGTACGCAGAGCTCTTCTGTGAGTGGAGGACACCTGCCCCCAGCTCCGGAGAGAAGCTTGATATGATGGGCTGCTAAACAGCCACCTGCTAAATAGGTGATAAATTCTCGCTTGGCCAGCATCAACTTGCAAAGGCAGGGGTTTGACTGAGCCTTGGGTGCATTTCTCCTGCTGCCAGTGGATCATGAGGAAGAGCCCATGATGGAGACATCCATTGCAAAGGACATCCAGGATACTCCTAACCCCAATACACCTGTGAGGAAAATTCTGAGCATCCTATATCTATATGGGGAAGGCATCCCATATCTGTTGGGGAATGGCACCACCAAAGAGTGGTCTTGGCCAATTGTCTGGACCAAGCTTCAAAATCTTCATCTCCAGGCTGCCTCCAGGGAGGTGCATGAAGGCTCAACAACACTTGGAGCTTCCTGTCAGCCCCCACCTCTTGCCTGGGTATCCAAAGGCAGGTGGGGAGGCCAAACTTACATTGTCTTTACTGGTATGGATCACCCCACTGCCTTTCATGGGGGCTATGTCTCCCAGCCTGGCAGAGGAAAGTGCATGGAGACAAGAAAGGGACATCAGTTTTGGCACCCTCAGTTTGAGACATGTAAGGATGCATTTTCAAAGACACACAGGATTTGGAGCACCCAGCCCAGTCAGGAGGAGTCCTGATGAGTTGGACTCCTTCCCTTGTCCTGTGTGCATCTGTCATCCCAGTACCTCATTTAAGGCATCTTCACCGTGGAAACTATTTTCTCAAGTGCATTAAAGGCCTGCTAGGAGGTCAAGCTTACAGTTTTAATGTCTCTTCCAGGAACTGTTGTTTTTTTTCCTTCAGGCTCCAGCTCCTTGGCCTTAGCATTAGATAAGGAATTCAGCTTTCCTTTCATAATAAAACCATGTGTAACCCTGATATTATGGAGGAAAGTTGGGAACTATGACTTGCATTTCATGCTCAGGCTCAAGAAACAGCAGGAAAATGAAACCTATCAGTGGTTTATTTTTACCAGAGCCTCTCCTGGGCTGTGCCCTGGCATCCTGGATCACAGCCAGCCTCTAAACTCAGAGACAAGCCCATGCGGGGACACTGCCAGACTGCAGCAACCTGAGCTTGGAGAGAAGATCTGAAATGACGCTATAAGTCTATGAATGCCAAGAGGTTTGCTCAGGACCAAGCTAGCACCCAACTGCAGGGTCAGTGCTAGGCTTGTCAGGTTTCTCGGAGGAGTTTTTGAACTCTTTGAAGCTTCTGCGTTCTCCACTGCTTGCTCTTGAGCCAACCAGTCTAATGCTCACCCTACTCGGTCAAGACTAGTGCTCAGTCCATGTCCTGCCACAGATGTCTACCTTGGGGCAGTGGGAGTCACATTGTTCCCTGGAAAGACAGGGCTCAGCCTGGGCTGCAAGACCAGCTCCTGGGGGACACCTAAGCAAGAAGGCTGCACTCTCCAAACTGCTTTGCCACCACATTCTGTGGACCATGGAAGTTTTATTAGGGACGCATTTCATATTACAATAAAATAAAAGTAAGGGCTCGGGCTTTTATTGTGAAATATATCACTCCTATAGGAAAGGGCCAAAGAGCTAAGTTATTTTATTAACTTCCTCTGTTTGTTGTTTCTCTGTGCTTTCCACCATTAATGCCTACTGGAGCACACAGTGTTATTCTCCCATCCAGGAGACTCAGCTCATGCTTATTGTGGACAAGCCCAAGCTAATGGATAAGGGGGTCTGTAATTGTACATCCTCCAGTAAATAAGCTTTTCTCAAAAGCATCAAAAGAAGAGCAAAATTCTGTCCAGGTTTAGCTTCTCAGAGGTAAACATTCTGCATTTCGAAGGGACATCTGGCACAGTTTATAGCACTGCGTGGACGATGACAAATATTCTCATTTCAGAGATCTTTGCTGTTTCACAACATGGTTTGTTTCTGATTTGGAATGAAAAGCAGCGCTTGCTCCCTGTCCAGGGAGATAGAGCCTGCAGCCAGGCTGGCTGCATCCATCCAGGACAGACTGCTGGGTTCCATGTTTTGAGCAATTCAGCTCGGTGACATCCAAGCCGCCAACCAAGTGCAGCTCCTTTTTCACCACCAGGAGCTGGAAAAGCACCAGATGGGCCGTTCCCAGTCTCCCCATCCCTCTGCTGCCTGTAAAACACAGTAAAAACATTGGAGGCTGTCCCTGAACTGAAAATCCTAATCAATCTGTACCAATATTCCAGACAAGGCCCTCTAATGCAGCAGCAGCTATGTTCATCCCCTGCAGTGTGGTTATCTTTCAGCAAATAACTCTAAATCGGTTTAAAATATGAGGATGTCCTATGAGAAATGGATTGCGATATTGCATCCACCTTGGAAGAAGGGAAATGTATCCAGGAGAAAACAGATGTGAGGACATTATTTTCAAGAGATGGGTGAAAAGTAAAGACGCATTAGTTTTAGGCTTAAATACTTAGGTAATTAGATAAAACAGGGCTCCAAAGCACTGGTGTGAACATTTACCTTCTGTATTTTGCAGATTTCTCCTTGTCCTGGAACCTTTTTAGGTTTAAATTTATTGCCCCAAAAGCAATCAGCTGGTTCCCAGTGCACCAGTCTAGCTAAAGGATACGGACAGGATAAACACAGTGCTGCTCTGCTCAGCATCACTGTGCACAGCCAGCTCCTATTGAAATTCTTACATAATTCTGTTGATGATGACAATAACCAGCATGAGAGTTCACCCACCTCTCCCATAAAAGCTTTGCAAGAAATCAATCAGATTACCATAGCATTTATTATACTTAAACTATTTACCTTAGCAATTATAAGAAAGTTTTCTGAAAACAGAAGAGAAGGGCGTCATCTTATTTGTGACAAAAGTGGTTTAAGATTAACTTTTAGAGAAGAGCCACCGGAAGGAGAAGAGCCACCAAAAACCCCCGCAAGTGCCACTGCCGCATAACTATACCACTTCTCTGAAGAAACTGAGCAAGGACAAACTTTGACTTTTTGTATTAATCTCTCAAACACAGCAATGTAAATATCCTCTGATATTATTCCAATGTAGCACTGTCTATATAAATTCATATAAAATAATCCCTAAAAAGGAGTAACGTGTAAACAAACCTCTGAGGAAAAAAAAAAAAAAAAGAAGTTGTATTATTTTTGTCATCTTGATACTATCTACATGTCAGTTCCCAAAATACCCATGTAAGATTTTTCTTAGATGCACAAGTTGACACAAAGGTTACATTGCCTGCCCA